GGTGACACAGAATTGGTGAGCTGGGGTGAGATTCATCACTCCATCCTGCTCTGCTTCTCGTGGAGGTCAGGCCCTGGGGGAGTCAGCCCTTGCAGCAGGATGGGGAGAATCAGAAGGTGGAAATGCAGTGTGAAAAATGCAGGTATTTTATGACTGGCTTTTCGCAAATATTAAAATGAATATTATGTGTGTTGTGTTAGAAAGTAATGCTGTGCTAATTCTCTTAAGTACTGTGTTAAATATAGTTTTAGGTTATAAGAAATGTTAAAATAGAAAGTGTGCTATGTAGGATACTTTTTTAAAGAAAGGACTCACAGCGAGATAGCAGCCACAGGACACCTGAATCTTTCAGAGAGAAAGAATTTATTGCTCCATTATCAGAAGAATCGATCATCTTCCTGCCTCGAAGGAGCTGTCAGGATTCAGAGGAAGAAGATGACACTGACCAGCCAGAATCCTGTGTTTGAATGGAATTTATGCATCATGTATGAGGTGTATGAATATGCAACAGGTTATTGCTTTTAAGGGTTAATCCTCTGTTAACGTGGGTCCTTTTTTGGGCTTATTTTGCCCAGAAAAAGGCACCCGGACTGTCCATAACTCTTTGTATTTATTGTCTCATATTGTCCTAATGCAAATTGTCCAAATTTTTATTACTCTAACTGTATTACTATTTTTATAACCACATGCAAAAACTCGCGGGCTGTGATAAGGGCAGCTTAACAGGTAAAGCAAAACCTGCACAAACAAGTGAATGGAAAGGAATTCATTCCCTGCTTCCTGCCGCAGGTGGGTGCTCAGGCATGCCAGGAACGCGTAACGGGGATTTGGGAACACCCCCTTGGTCCCTCCTTCCTTCCTCCCAGGTTTTATTGTGAGCGCAGCCTCCTCCGGTGCTGGAGAGCTCTGTGCTGGGCCAGGTCAGCTGTGCGCCCTCCCAGCCCCACGAACAGACCTTGGTGTTGTGTAAGCAGCACTCAGCAGCAGCTACAGCATTCCTATGCTTCCATCGCTGATCCAAACACAGATCCAGACCAGCCACTGTCGAGAAAATTAACTCTATCCCAGCCATGATCCTGTGCAAAGACAAAACCAGTAGAGACAGCCAAGAGGACCACTGGTTCTAAGTGTGGAGCATTCACAGCATTCTAGTATTTAAGTCTGTCTCAGAAAGATTAGAGTTTTGTACAAGAAATTACTGTCACAATAATTCTTTCTAAAAATACATATAGATGTACCCACCCTGTCTCTCCCTGCTATAAACAACAGTGCACCATTATGTGAAAGCATCACTGAGAACACTGAGAATAAGGTTTAGGAAAGATAAAATAACCCTACACTCACTCCTCCCTTGTATTCCCCCAGGAACTGCTCTATTGTCAGTGAAACAGTAACACTTACATGGAGCTTTAGGATCTTCAGGTGTAAGGAAGATGTTAAATGGAGCTGTGCCAGAACTTCCCCGGCCACAGTCCAGGGTTGTGTGTCTCCCTCCTGAGCACCCTCTCTGTACACAGCTGAAAAAGAGAACTATGGAAAGTTCCACTTCCCAAAAAGAGCCTTTCATGTGGAAAGTCTGTATTTTACACAGTGATGGTCAGTAGTTTAGGAGGGGAAAAAAGAAAGAATGGTGTAGGAAAAGAGCAGAAAATATAAACAGCTTGAATCAGATGGACTAGCTGCATCAGCCTATCCTGGCAGAAGGCAAACCCTGGAGATTTCTTTTCCAAGGACATCTTGGACTTCCTATAGCTTTTCATCACCCCACACCCAAGCAGCACAGGCTGACTTGGGTTGGGAGAGACCTCCAAGACCACTGAGCTCAGCCTGTGGCCAATCCCCATCTTGTCACCAGCCCAGAGAACTGAGTGCCACATCCAGGTATTCCTTGGACACCTCCAGGGATGGGCACTCCAAACCTGCCTGGGCAGCTCCTGCCAATGCCTGACCACCCTTTCCACAACAAAATTCTTCCTCTTTGCAAATGATGGCATTGTTCACTTTGGTTTAGCCCAAAAGAGGACAATCAGCTCCTCTCTGAGTGGTCCTGAAGGATGGAGAGGTGGGGAGTGTCCCATAATTCAGAGAATGGGTTGAATGGCCAAGAGTGGAGAGTAGGACTAGGTACTGGCAGGCCATGGAATATATGGAGGTATTTCTGTCAAAAGCATCCATGTGGCCAAGCTGAGAGAAGTGTGATCTTAGAACTGTATTCAGAAGGGCATTGCAACACATTGCTGAGCACAAGCCAGCATCCTTAGTGCAGTCTGACAGCGTGCAGCCTTGTAGAGATTGTGTTCTGCCTTAAAACAAAACACTCTTTAGGATGTTTTTCTTTGAAGAACAAGGCTCTGGAGGGAACATTTATTTCACTGCTCTGTGGAAGAGCCAATACCACAAAAAGCAGGTATGGAGAAAATGGCTACTCCATAAGACTCATGATATCCAGTAGGGCTTTCCAAACCACTACACTTGAGTAAAATCCATCAATGGGCTCCCTCTGCGCACAGCCAGAGCCAGCTTATTACCACCCAGCAGCCCAGGAGAATCACAGAATCACAGGATGGTTTAGGTTGGAAGCTCACCCCGTTCCAACCCCCCTGCCATGGGCAGGGGACACCTTCCATTAGGCCAGGACACTCAAATCCCTGTCCATCCTGGAGAGGATTGTGGGGAAGAGCATAACAGGCTTTGCTGACATCCACTGCTCTGCCCATGTTGACAGAAAACATCTTTTTGTTGTACAAGATTATCAGCTTAGTGACACTATTTACTGTGGAAAATGCCCTGGCTCTTTCTTATCACCACCTGCTTCATTTGGATACAAAAGAGCCTAGATTATGAGTGACACGTATCAGTAAATAAGGATATAACTAACAAACACCAAGTAAGCCAGAAGATGAATGACTCACTGCCTCTGTAGCAGAAAGGTGACTGTGGTTTTGTACAACAAACCATAAATTACAAAACAAACACTGTAGCAAATAAAACCAAACCCCAAAACCAACAAAACCCTTCATGTTAGAATAGAACAGTTCAGCTGGAAGGAACTTAGGACAATCATCTGGTCCAGCTGCTTGACCAGTTCAGGGCTGCCCTAAAGTTTCACCACTGCTCAAATGCCTCTTGAACACAGTCTGGGGCATCAGCCATCTCTGCAGGGAGCCTGCTGCAGTATTTGATTATGTGCTTTATAAAGAAACACTTTGTAATGTCCAGCCTGAGCCTCCCTGGCCCTGCTTTGAGAGCAGCATTCCCATGAGATCAGCACTTCCCTCTCCATGCCCCCTTCTCAGGAAGCTGCAGAGGGGATGGGGCTGTCCCTCAGCCTCCTGTCCAAAGCAGACAAACCCAGAGCCCTCAGCCTCCGCCTCTCAAATCAGACAAACCCAGAGCCCTCAGCCTCCTTCTCTCTAAATCTGACAAACCCAGAGCCCTCAGCCTCCTCCTCTCAAAGCAGACAAACCCAGAGCCCTCAGCCTCCTTCTCTCAAAGCAGACAAACTCAGAGCCCTCA